TTGCTGATCCACCTCCGACGTTGTGGAATTCGGAGTTGTCCACTTGATTCACCTAAAAAACAAGCATTTTACCTACATTAATTAGAAAAAACCTATATTTAATTAAGAAGAATTAATTGTTAACAACAAGACATTGTACTAGTTCTAGAACCTTCTAGAAAATTCTATAACCTACCGATGAAACACTGTTATGGTGACTCCCAATGTTATGGTAACCACCAGCACCAGAACTTTGATATCCCTGGTTGCCTATGCCGCTTGACCCACCACCATACTGTTGACCTCCGAATCCACCACCGTTAGCGAAGCCACTGTTCATACCGCCTAAGCCCATACCTAGACCGCCCAGTCCTAACCCAGCACCCATTCCTAGACCCGATCCCAATCCTAACCCGCCCACTCCAATACCACCTAGACCTAAACCAAACGGTTTAGCATTGAGTGCAGCGAAGCAGGAGAAGATTATCAATACCTGAAAATAAACATTATAGTAATAAATAAACTTTTCTCTGTTGTTTACAAATTATATTAATCAATTTCATGTAACAAAATCGTATTTTTTAATTAATTGCATGATTACTTCAAATTCCATTCAATTTTATTAATTTTCAACTTACGGCGCCTTTCATTTTTGTTTAGATATGTAATAGGAATACTAAAACAAATAAAAATATATTATGATATTGACGTGCGGTAGACGTTTCTAATATGATCTGCAATAACAAATTCGTATCTTATATATTATGTTTGAATGAACGTAATGTAATTAATGTATCATTAGCCACAAAAAAACGTCACATTATCTTATGTTGGAACATGACGGGGGAAATTTTTAGGATCATTATTGACCTTAGGAGTGACGTCAAAGTATTTTTCGTCACCAAATTAAATCATAATAGTAACAAATGCCGTGGTTTTGCCTTCTATTTTATTCTTATGTATATTCAACAAGAATATATTCCGTATCAATTGTTGTATCTCTTTTCCAGTACGGACAAACGTTAAATAAAGTGATTGTGATTATTCATTATAAATTTTTGGCAATCTTTGACAGTATTGTTAAAAGTAAAACACAATCCACGACATCACATTTCTTAATTTGATCATAGCATAGCGACAATTTTGCTAATTCCCGTTTGCATAAGTTCCATAGAAGCGAATTTTCCTTAGGCACCGATGGAAAAGTCTGAGTCTCCTTAATTGATTAAGGAAACGGCGATGACTGTCGTTTCTATTCTCCACGAAACATTCCGGAACTTGGGCGAAACCGACCCGCTAATTGATTTTTAATATAGATTTTAATATATATTGCCAAGTTCTTGATAGTTACATTCATTCAGGCATACGCATCGAAAAGAAAATCAATATGAAGTGCACTGTGAGTATAGAACTATAGTCAATATTTATTTATTTTCTCATCACGTTTATAAACATTGTCTTAATTTTTCAGAAATTTATTATATAATATTGTCCTTTTTTTCAGGTGTTTTTCGTTTCCTTATGCACTGTGGCACTTAACGCTCAACCGTTTGGTATTGGTGGCATAGGTCTTGGCGGAATAGGTACCGGTTTGGGTCTCGGTGGGGTGGGGACGGGCCTAGGTCTTGGTGGCATAGGAACCGGTCTGGGTCTCGGAGGCCTTGGCGGTGTGGGTATGGGTCTAGGAGGTATGGGCGGCGGGTATGCCAACGGCGGTGGATTTGGTGGCCAAGGATTTGGAAGCGGAGCAAGCGGCGTCGGAAATGCGGGTTACCAGAACTCTGGAGTCGGCGGTTTCCATAATATTGGTGCTCATAACCATAGGGTTGTTTCTGTAAGTTGTTTTAATAATTAATCTCTCTGGTGATTAAATAGTAAACAACTAAAGAGTTTCAACAGCAAAATTTGAAGGCTTTTTTTTTCAAGTTTTCTCTTTCTTGTGATTTTAAGATGAGCCGAATGAATAATAATAATAAAAGTCGTTAAGCAGGCTGTTATTATGATTTTAACGAAACGTAATCTAGCAGTTTTGTGTGAAACCATCAATATTTGCCCAGCGAAATCCGTGTATATGAATCGTTCGGGCGTACATTGCGATTGTTGTTTGCAGATAAATCAAGCTGATAATTCTGGCTTCCACAACATCGGAGGCGGTTCCGCTGGCGGTTCAGCCGGATTCGGCGGAAACGGTTTCAACGGATATCAAAACGGAGCCTCTCAATTTGGCAACGGATATGGTTCAGGGTCGCAAGGAATGATTATCTAAGACAAAGTTATCTTATTTAGCAACCTTAAAACTATATGTAAATAATGTGAAAAAGAAATATTTAATAAAGACTGTTTTTATAAAGTGTTGTTTTTATAGAATTCCGTATGAAAATTCCAATGAGCAACTAAGCCAATATACGAGTTGCTGTAAATAATAATTTTATTTCGTTGAGGGTAACACCCTTAGATGAGAAAGGTTTCTTAATAAAAATTTAATGTTTGATTTTAATTATTATACTTATGTCAGCATACTATATGATTCTTGGTTTTTGTGTATCGTTAATATATTATTTTTTTCCATTTTTATATTCAATAATAGCAATAATAATAACAAATTTAAGTATTTGTTATTGACTTTGTTAAATGATAAATTTAGTCTTTTGATGTAGGTGGTTTTACCCCGCGTAGTGAACAATTTTCATTGTAGTTTATTAAAACATACACAACCAGTTAGTCTAAATACCAAATCAATTTTTCATTCGTTACGTAGTTACGACTCGCTATACGTAGCACTATTCGTAGGAGTAGGCTTTAATAACGTACCTAACATTTTACTTTATTTCCTGACTAATAGAGGACTTCTCAAATATGTAGATACATTTTTAGTGACTATTATAAAAGCTTTATACTATCACTGCAAAAATTGTATTTTAGATTATTCGTTTCATAGAAAATCAAAATTCCATCTTTTTTTATCCTCTTTATAATAAATATCCAAATGTACAGTCAGAACAATATATTTGCATTATAATAAAACTTGATACTTCAAATGTTATCTTTGAAATAAATAATCTTATTAGTTTAATAGAAAATAAAATACCTTTTCCTAACTCTTCTTCATATTGTTCATATTAAATATTTACATGTAAATTCAATAGGACAAAAAACGTTTGCTACATAATCGATAAATCCCTTATGTTTAAGACGTAAGCAGATAAATATGTCAAGAAAATATAAATTGCTCTAATTCAGTAACTGTGTGGTTAAAAATTGCGTGCAGTTTACGCGAGAAGTTTTAAACGCGACATATTAATACGCGATGTGTTAAAATTATTTGAAATTAATTTTTAACTACGGCCCGACGTTTCTTCTCCCCGTGACTGCTGTAAGCGCCCAGAACATCGGGCCGTAATTAAAAATAATTCTCAAATTAGTTTGACTACTATATATCGCGTTTTAAACCGTTCAAGTGTTTTATTTAACTATGTGGTTAGATTTTGTGGAGCGGAGCATTAAAAACAAAATAATTATTTGATGAAATTTATTGGTAACGAAAAAGGTTAAATCATCATCCCTTGGCTTTGGCCGGATCCGAAACCATTTCCAAATTGAGAACCTCCGTTCTGATATCCGTTATAACCGTTGCCAGAAAAACCACCGTTGTCCATTGCTGATCCACCTCCGACGTTGTGGAATTCGGAGTTGTCCACTTGATTCACCTAAAAAACAAGCATTTTACCTACATTAATTAGAAAAAACCTATATTTAATTAAGAAGAATTAATTGTTAACAACAAGACATTGTACTAGTTCTAGAACCTTCTAGAAAATTCTATAACCTACCGATGAAACACTGTTATGGTGACTCCCAATGTTATGGTAACCACCAGCACCAGAACTTTGATATCCCTGGTTGCCTATGCCGCTTGACCCACCACCATACTGTTGACCTCCGAATCCACCACCGTTAGCGAAGCCACTGTTCATACCGCCTAAGCCCATACCTAGACCGCCCAGTCCTAACCCAGCACCCATTCCTAGACCCGATCCCAATCCTAACCCGCCCACTCCAATACCACCTAGACCTAAACCAAACGGTTTAGCATTGAGTGCAGCGAAGCAGGAGAAGATTATCAATACCTGAAAATAAACATTATAGTAATAAATAAACTTTTCTCTGTTGTTTACAAATTATATTAATCAATTTCATGTAACAAAATCGTATTTTTTAATTAATTGCATGATTACTTCAAATTCCATTCAATTTTATTAATTTTCAACTTACGGCGCCTTTCATTTTTGTTGAGATATGTAATAGGAATACTAAAACAAATAAAAATATATTATGATATTGACGTGCGGTAGACGTTTCTAATATGATCTGCAATAACAAATTCGTATCTTATATATTATGTTTGAATGAACGTAATGTAATTAATGTATCATTAGCCACAAAAAAACGTCACATTATCTTATGTTGGAACATGACGGGGGAAATTTTTAGGATCATTATTGACCTTAGGAGTGACGTCAAAGTATTTTTCGTCACCAAATGAAATCATAATAGTAACAAATGCCGTGGTTTTGCCTTCTATTTTATTCTTATGTATATTCAACAAGAATATATTCCGTATCAATTGTTGTATCTCTTTTCCAGTACGGACAAACGTTAAATAAAGTGATTGTGATTATTCATTATAAATTTTTGGCAATCTTTGACAGTATTGTTAAAAGTAAAACACAATCCACGACATCACATTTCTTAATTTGATCATAGCATAGCGACAATTTTGCTAATTCCCGTTTGCATAAGTTCCATAGAAGCGAATTTTCCTTAGGCACCGATGGAAAAGTCTGAGTCTCCTTAATTGATTAAGGAAACGGCGATGACTGTCGTTTCTATTCTCCACGAAACATTCCGGAACTTGGGCGAAACCGACCCGCTAATTGATTTTTAATATAGATTTTAATATATATTGCCAAGTTCTTGATAGTTACATTCATTCAGGCATACGCATCGAAAAGAAAATCAATATGAAGTGCACTGTGAGTATAGAACTATAGTCAATATTTATTTATTTTCTCATCACGTTTATAAACATTGTCTTAATTTTTCAGAAATTTATTATATAATATTGTCCTTTTTTCAGGTGTTTTTCGTTTCCTTATGCACTGTGGCACTTAACGCTCAACCGTTTGGTATTGGTGGCATAGGTCTTGGCGGAATAGGTACCGGTTTGGGTCTCGGTGGGGTGGGGACGGGCCTAGGTCTTGGTGGCATAGGAACCGGTCTGGGTCTCGGAGGCGGTGTGGGTATGGGTCTAGGAGGTATGGGCGGCGGGTATGCCAACGGCGGTGGATTTGGTGGCCAAGGATTTGGAAGCGGAGCAAGCGGCGTCGGAAATGCGGGTTACCAGAACTCTGGAGTCGGCGGTTTCCATAATATTGGTGCTCATAACCATAGGGTTGTTTCTGTAAGTTGTTTTAATAATTAATCTCTCTGGTGATTAAATAGTAAACAACTAAAGAGTTTCAACAGCAAAATTTGAAGGCTTTTTTTTTCAAGTTTTCTCTTTCTTGTGATTTTAAGATGAGCCGAATGAATAATAATAATAAAAGTCGTTAAGCAGGCTGTTATTATGATTTTAACGAAACGTAATCTAGCAGTTTTGTGTGAAACCATCAATATTTGCCCAGCGAAATCCGTGTATATGAATCGTTCGGGCGTACATTGCGATTGTTGTTTGCAGATAAATCAAGCTGATAATTCTGGCTTCCACAACATCGGAGGCGGTTCCGCTGGCGGTTCAGCCGGATTCGGCGGAAACGGTTTCAACGGATATCAAAACGGAGCCTCTCAATTTGGCAACGGATATGGTTCAGGGTCGCAAGGAATGATTATCTAAGACAAAGTTATCTTATTTAGCAACCTTAAAACTATATGTAAATAATGTGAAAAAGAAATATTTAATAAAGACTGTTTTTATAAAGTGTTGTTTTTATAGAATTCCGTATGAAAATTCCAATGAGCAACTAAGCCAATATACGAGTTGCTGTAAATAATAATTTTATTTCGTTGAGGGTAACACCCTTAGATGAGAAAGGTTTCTTAATAAAAATTTAATGTTTGATTTTAATTATTATACTTATGTCAGCATACTATATGATTCTTGGTTTTTGTGTATCGTTAATATATTATTTTTTTCCATTTTTATATTCAATAATAGCAATAATAATAACAAATTTAAGTATTTGTTATTGACTTTGTTAAATGATAAATTTAGTCTTTTGATGTAGGTGGTTTTACCCCGCGTAGTGAACAATTTTCATTGTAGTTTATTAAAACATACACAACCAGTTAGTCTAAATACCAAATCAATTTTTCATTCGTTACGTAGTTACGACTCGCTATACGTAGCACTATTCGTAGGAGTAGGCTTTAATAACGTACCTAACATTTTACTTTATTTCCTGACTAATAGAGGACTTCTCAAATATGTAGATACATTTTTAGTGACTATTATAAAAGCTTTATACTATCACTGCAAAAATTATATTTTAGATTATTCGTTTCATAGAAAATCAAAATTCCATATTTTTTTTATCCTCTTTATAATAAATATCCAGACTGTACATTCAGAACAATATATTTGCATTATAATAAAACTTGATGCTTTAAATGGAATCTTTGAAATAAATGTTCTTATTAGTTTAATAGAAAATAAAATACCCTTTCCTAACTCTCTTCATACTGTTCATATTCAATATTTAAATGTAAATTCAATAAGACAAAAAACGTTTGCTACATAATCGATAAATCCCTTATGTTTTAGACGTAAGCAGATAAATATGTCAAGAAAATATAAATTGCTCTAATTCAGTAACTGTGTGGTTAAAAACTGCGTGCAGTTTACGCGAGAAGTACATAATATGCAAATGAAACACTTGAACGGTTTTAAATGCGACATATTAATACGCGATATGTTAAAAGTATTTGAAATTTATTTTTAACTACGGCCCGACGTTTCTTCTCCCCGTGACTGCTGTAAGCACCGGAAACGTCGGGCCGTAATTAAAAATAATTCTCAAATTAGTTTGACTACTATATATCGCGTTTTAAACCGTTCAAGTGTTTTATTTAACTATGTGGTTAGATTTTGTGGAGCGGAGCAATAAAAACAAAATAATTATTTGATGAAATTTATTGGTAACGAAAAAGGTTAAATCATCATCCCTTGGCTTTGGCCGGATCCGAAACCATTTCCAAATTGAGAACCTCCGTTCTGATATCCGTTATAACCGTTGCCAGAAAAACCACCGTTGTCCATTGCTGATCCACCTCCGACGTTGTGGAATTCGGAGTTGTCCACTTGATTCACCTAAAAAACAAGCATTTTACCTACATTAATCAGAAAAAACCTATATTTAATTAAGAAGAATTAATTGTTAACAACAAGACATTGTACTAGTTCTAGAACCTTCTAGAAAATTCTATAACCTACCGATGAAACACTGTCATGGTGACTCCCAATGTTATGGTAACCACCAGCACCAGAACTTTGATATCCCTGGTTGCCTATGCCACTGGACCCACCACCATACTGTTGGCCTCCGAATCCACCACCGTTAGCGAAGCCACTGTTCATACCGCCTAAGCCCATACCTAGACCGCCCAGGCCTAACCCAGCACCCATTCCTAGACCCGATCCCAATCCTAACCCGCCCACTCCAATACCACCTAGACCTAAACCAAACGGTTTAGCATTGAGTGCAGCGAAGCAGGAGAAGATTATCAATACCTGAAAATAAACATTATAGTAATAAATAAACTTTTCTCTGTTGTTTACAAATTATATTAATAAATTTCATGTAACGATATTAAGTAGATTAAATTTCATGATAGAAGAAAATTTTTGCACACTTACAATGCTTTTCATATTGGCTGGTGTCTGATACTTCGTCTGAATCAAGTTCGATTATCTATCGATCGTTTTATATACATAAGATGAGAATTATTCTCTGTATCGTAATATCATTAAAAAGACATTTGCATTTCGGATTTGGTGGTAATATAATTTCCACGCATTAACGATGACGAGGTGTAAAGTAAATGACGGAGTCCGAGAAATATTCCTCGGATTTCCCAAATCATATCGTAATTACGGCCAATTATTAGGAATGGAATAAAAAATATTCCATTAGGTTTTCAACTATTACCAAATGAAAAATGTATACGCACGGACATTTTAATATCTTTCACGTGTTCTTGCACAAAATGGCATTATATAAGTCTACTAGCTAAAATTAGCTACAAACCTTTTTTGTCGTGTGAAGTATTACGACAAATTTCGATTCTCATAAAAACGGTTCTCGTAAGTTGAAAAATACACATGTATATGTGTATTTTTTACGGATCTCACGGACATTTCTGGATTATTTACAGAAGAATAATTCTTTCATACATATTTTTTGGGTATCTTGAACGGTTTTCCCAGCGCCTGCAACGGAAATCCCCATACCAAAACCATTTATCCCTGTTTTGTCCATATTTCCCATTGTTTCTTGTTTCTATTAGTCGTAGCGTGTTTTAGTGCCAAATACCTTCCTCCATAAGTCATCTAACAAAAACTAAAATAATTTTTCAATTCCAACCAGCAGTCGTTGAGATTAGCGCGTTCAAACATACAAACTCTTCAGCTTTATTACTATAGAGAATATTAGTAATGGTATGAAAATTAGTATTACTTTTAAGAAATAAGAGAGTATGTGTGATATTTTGACTCGTTCGCGTAAACTTTCTTGGTAGCAATGTATGGCTAATTAATGGGTCGTGTGATCTCCATCGGGTCCAATGTTTCTAATCGTTTTACTATATTTATTATATTTCTTAAACAATGTCTGGAAATCTAGATAAGAAATGGAATATTAAAATTCCGTTCATCTGTGGTGGTGTTCAGAATATGAAAACCCAAAATAAGTTGCTATTCATTATTATCCTAAAAAATATTAAAAGTAGTTGAAAGTAATTATTATTACTTATGTAAAAGACTATTTTTGACGTATTTTTTTCGCAGCAACAGAAAAAGGGTTTAATTGATATATAAATAAAAAAGTCGAAATACAGGTGTATACATATAAACTTAAATTTATTTACACCTTAATACTTACAATTTGTGACGATTCGCAAGACAAGAGCTCTAATGAAAGTATACACAACAAACAGACGATAAAATAACAGAGAATTTACATTTTGGCACGGAGTACGGTAATTTGAAGGCTTTATAACAATTCAGTAACAACATACATGTAACTTATAGCACTTTGGGACGATTTTGTTCCTGTTTTACGTACATAACATATACAATTGTGCGTGTATTTTCAAGGTAAAAATTAGGACAAAATTAAAAAATCACAAACATGGGCACTGTATCTATCTCTTTCCATGTCTGTAATAGTGATGGGGAACAGAAATATTCTATGGTTAATTTAGTATTGTCTATAGTTTACAAGGAGTTTACACATTTAACGATTTTTAAACGAGAAATATTAACTACGCCCCAATATCACGTGGTTCATGGCGAGACCACGGTTACAATTGTTTGTATTTATTATCCTCGTTAACCATAATCTATTTAGTAAATTTAAATGCGAAAAAGGCAAAAAATAGGCCATTGTGCTCAGTCACAAACGAAGGCTTCGGTCGATTTGTCGTTTTCGTTTTGCTCGTAAACTAAATCAATTCATACGCTTATTATAAATCAGTCTAATTCTTAAAGCGACATAATGTCTAATAAAGCTTAATCGAATGCCATAACACTGGAAATATTAGTAACATAAGGCCACTAGGTTTCAATATTACTATGGATCTCGTGGGCGGTTCCTTCTCAATCTAGGAATGTCATATTCTCTCCCTGTTTAACGGTTGCGATTAGATAGAGACACAAAATATTTTAAAATGTGTTTTGAACACGTTATTTGTAAACTTTCGAAAAAGCCACACACATCCATAGCTGATGATCGACTTAAAAGTATGGGTTACAAAAAGTTATTCTCATTAACAAAATTAACAATAAAATTAATCTATGTAATGTTAATATGGCGGTTGTAAAAATTTGGGAACATTTGAACGTGGGTAAATATCGGAAATATTAATCGTAACAATTAATTACATACAAAAACTTCATAATTCATAACACATCAATATACATCACAAAATAGTGCACCAGCGCTGTTAAGTATGTGAATACTTTTGCTAAAATTTGCGAACATCGAAAAATAATTTAAAGCTTATCACAAACGCATTTTACACTGTGTGTAATAAATTTCTGAATCGAATGATTTTGCCCCTAGCACGAGTTGAAACCACTTTCGAGTCGTTGCAAACATTTTTCTACATTCCATAGAACTTTTACAAATGAATGAAAAGACTCAAAACGCTTATAACTAATCATATCTATCATTTAAACTAAATTAGCCCGGAATAGACGTTAAACTCATACTAGGGGTACGATACTAATAATCTGTACACAATTAGACGCCATTGGAATTTACACCTATCTACATGCACCTTTATTTACACTATATGACACGAATATCTTTGAAGAGATTCTACTTTTAGCTTTGACTACTATTTTAGAGATGGAATTTTGTTCTATCAACCCAACGACTAAAACCCATTATCACCAATCAATAATTATATTGATTGATAATGTTAACGTTGATCGGATTCCCTTTAATCAATTATTATTTCTTGCTCAAATTTGGTCTAAATCATTAAAATAGTCTGATTTGGTTTACAAGCGCATCTCCCACATAATAAGATGTGCGTCTTTGGGATTAGGATCCGCAGCAGGGGCGGGGCGTTCCGACGCGTCAGCTGTTTGCCTCCAATCCACATAACCCCGACCTCCCATTATCGTTACTATGGACCTGCGAGAAGTACTCTCCCCGACAATATAATCAGCCCCACGTAGACTCCTCACAGCGTTCCTCTCGTTTTTCTTATTGGGACGGATGTCTGGAGATGGGGCGTTCGCTGAGTCACTACGAGATATCGACCGTTCCGAAGCACTTGATTTCCCTGAAGAGGAGTCTGGGGTCGACACGGCCAACGGAACTAAGCTAGCTGCGCCTGAAGCTCCCGAACTAGTTCTGGACACGCCACGTAATGCCATGGATTCTTCGCTCCCCGACGACGTACAGAGACTCGAAGCCCGAGAATCCACCGACCAGCTGGACAAATCTAAACTTCTTGGCCGTCCAGCTCTCATCCGTAGACGCCTATCTAAAGTGCTGACTCTGAAGGGAATAGCCGCTAATTCGGGATCGCTCCGCCTTAACGATTCACCACCAGCTCCACTAACATCAGCTTCACCCACGCAGTCCTTTACAAACATTAGATCACCGAACAAGCCATAGACATCACACGCGTTCAGATTAGCGCATTTTGGTAAGGTTTTGCTCAGACGCACGTCGCCGGGTTTCTTTCGTCGTATCACAGCTGATTGAACGCGTTGTGGCCTATATGGACTCAACTCTTCGGATATACGGCGCTCGAGCTTATGCTTGTCGTCATCTTTGCCGTCTTCTTTGAACTCGTGGACGGTGTCCGCCAGCGCCCGGGCGTTGGACAGGTTCCGTCTGACCAAGTTGACGTCAACGTCTTTTGTTTCCGGGTTCAACGCTAGAAGGAATGTTACTGGTCCGGCGTGAGCGTGATACGAGACAGCTATGTGGCCACCGATCAAGGGTAAGCCTTCAAGCTTTGGTAACGGCACAGTCACACTGACACCGGCAGTCGTACCCACCCATAGAAGCCCTTGGACTGCGAGTAACGCTGATACGTGGGCTGGCTTGCTTCCCTCCCTAGCACCGATGGTTTTGGCCACATCAGCGGCTATGTCAATATTCTGGAGATGTTCCAGCGTCTCCGTGTGGTATAGACTAACATAGGTCGAGTCGGAGAACGCCGCCCATAAACCTACACCGGAGTGTGCCAAATATTTTACTGAGCGGTCACCTTCTCCCTTCAGTTCTATGATGCGCATGATTTCTGCTGTCAAAGCGTTGATAGCGAAGACACGTTTCGCACACGTCGCATAGATGATACCGTCAACTGGTAGTATGCAATGTACAGGTTTGTCTCCTAGTTCTATCGCGATGGGCTCCTGTAGCGCCCACGAGTCGTCGTGGTTTCTTCTGAATACAGATATCCTTCCATTAGCGAGTCCCACGAACATGGAGTCGCAGTGGTAGCGTATCTGGGTGACAGCTGCAACGGTGGGCACCTCGCTGAGTTTTTCCTGCTTCTCGGGCTCAACGCCGGAAAATATTATGATCTTTTTGTCCTCAGTGCCGAGCCACACTGTGTCGCCGCACAGTGTGGTCACTTGTCTTACGCCTTTTGCGTATTCTATTGATGACACCTGAAAAGGCGAGGCAGGGAAGTAAATAACTCGAATATAAAGAGAAAATTTGAAATTATTTTACAAATGGTCTAACTTACAAAAGGGGTGATAAATTATGCATATTGCATTAGTTTTAGATTAGAGTCACTACAAGGATTAGGTATCAAAATATATAAAATTGTATTTTTGACATACATTATATATCTACTAAAAATACAGTAAACAAGAGGTCATTTACCTTAATATCAGGTAAGTCAAGTGTAACAAGCGTCTTGAGCGTAGCAGCTCGATGTGTTAATACTGCTACATGGCTATTGGTGTTGCTACCAGCGCACACCCATAGCAACGAGCGGGCACGACGCCTGGCGCCGCCGCTTGCGCACCCGCTCGACGTATAGAAGCAGCCGCATTTTACCTGTAAATTTTTCAAACATATTAATAAAGAATTATTCGAGATAAAACGCACGTACGTTTTAACAAATATAGAAATCTAAAACTACTATATTCGATCGATCTACATTAGTAACTTAGTTTTTAACTATGATCAGACCTTTCGAAAATTAGTAGTGGTCCCGGGTTACGATGTTATCAGTATAAGTTTAGAAATAGTAAAACAATTCACACATTTGTCACGTGGCACAAAACATTCCTGATTTGGTCGGGTTCATGATGAAGTCACTTGCTTATAGACAGTGCCATAAACCACCTTGCTTCCTACTGTTAAAACTGTTCTTATCTCTGAATTAATAAATAAATAAATTTGTAACTAATTTTACTTCTTCAATCAATATAAAATGTTATTTTAGTAATTTGTAAATAATTGTAGATCATATGATCTGCATACACCAGTGGCCAATATAAGGTAAAGTGATGTAAATACTGACCTCAGTTAAATTATTGGAAGAATAAACGGGTGCAGCGGCTACATATAGAGGCATTTTGTGTGGTGGTGTGGTGCTAGCTGGGAGACGCCACGCGGGGCAATTAGCTCTCGCCTGAGCCAACTGCGCCAGACGTAACTCAGTGGCCCATGCACGTCTCGCTCCCGGTTCATTAGCTCGGAACGTTATTGGCTCTTCTCGTCCACGTATCGTTAGTTGTAGGCAACAGGAATCTACCCACGCCATTTCGTCGTCTTTTTTCTGAAAGTCACAGAATACTGGAGGTTGAACTGTGTAATTTGTATACCAAAAATGAAAGATAGGTTTTAATTATTTAAAGTAAACATAATTTCTCTTTTAAATTTTCTCTAGATAACTTTGAATAAAATTGTGTAAGTATATATTATAATGTAAACAACTTTACTTATAGTTATTTTGCACTATCCTACTAATATTATAAACGTGAAAGTTTGTATGTGTGGATGGATGTTTGTTACTCTTTCACGCAAAAACTACTGAATGGATTGCTTATACATGTTGAAGTTTATATATATTGATACAGGCAACACTTGAATTAGTTTTTTAAAATGTTCTTTTCTATGTTTATTTTAATTTCCAGGATATTTTATGAAAAAAAAACAAGGAAAAACACGTCGGGGTCTTTGTACGTTTATTATACAAAATTATATTAACAGTGCAAATATATATGAGAAAGTTTAAGTGGGTGTATTTTCATAAATATGCACACGAGCCGAAGCTTCCACGCGGAACTATAATAATATTCCAACACATCAGAATAACACATAGGCTACAATTTATAAAGATATTATCTGAGCTGTCCAAAATATGACATTAAGTGTCAAGTAACTAGGAAAAACCTACCTTTCTGCGAGCTATTCTGGCGTGCGCTGCCATAAACGTTAGTTACACATAATTATTTAATGTATGATATGATAGACATCATTTAGGTTAGATACTACGTAATCCTAATCCTGCGTAGACGAAGTCGCGGGCACCAGCTAGTAGGTAATATAGTGCAAAATTACCCCAATAATTGCGGATATACAAATTTACGAATCCTTATCGAAAATACCCTTTTATTTTAAATAAAAGTAAAAATTGTAGCAACGTCTTTCAGTTTCCAACAAACTTCATACCAACATACAACACTAAGAAAATAAATCAACACACCTGTATACTCTGCTGAATGTTCTGCAGAAGCGTCCTAAACACATCTGGGGCAACTTCTGGGTACGGCGTCTTTAACGAGGCAGCCAGATCCGCCATTCTGGATACGGTCTCGTAATCGTGCATCAGAGCTGACATTTCGTTACAAAGAGAATCGCCCGTGGATGTGCTACCAGTACCACTTGAATTTGAGCGTAGACTTCCACTGCGATTCATACCTGGAATTTAAAAGAAACAGTACATTTTAATAAGTTAATTCTGCATTACTTTTTCTTGCATTACTATTTATTTGTGAACTCGTTGATAGATTATACATATTCTTTAGAGAATAGTCCGACTTGAAGGACCAAAATATTTTTTTCAAACTGGCAAAGGCGAACTCGCGTGCGTTTATCATCGTTGTAGAAAATCGTATTGTAGCTGTTTCGTGGATTATTGGGAAAATTGAATATAGAAAATAATTACCAGCGAATATATTTATATAATCTGTACACAATACATGAATCCTAAAATTAAGTATAAACGTAATTTTACTGCACCGTCATTGATCTTTACATCATCACAGGCGCGAAAGAATATAATCAATAAATTCAACTATTAAATTAGTTGATATTGGACAAAAACATGCCCGAATAGGCTATGTGTGTGTAATATGTATATGAAGAACCCTCCTCTAAATATTTAATGCCGTTTTGTTATTGGTGTTCGGCATCCGAAATACATAAACTATCAAGATTACGAGTCTCTGTTTATAGCGTCTTTTTTAAGATACAACTTGGTGACAAGCAGAGAGCGAACTTTTACTAATTAGGGTTGTTTACCGTTTTTGTATGACACGCAAAAATAAAATAAGATTTAAGTACCGAGATCTAATTGTATATAAGTCAACTAACCTTGCGCTAGTACTCTACTGAGCGTCGGTGATGTACCGGTGTCTAGTACTTCAACATCTTGCACGGGATGCGCCCACTTCAGTCCAAGTCTCTCCGCTTCCTCGCCACCCGCGCCCACAGACACACACACGACTAAGTCATTTAACAATAACAAACGACGAGGCTTGCACTTTGTCAGTGTTCCTGATTGATTAAACTCCTGAAAAATAAATAATTACATTTTTAATTCATAACATTTATAATGATATTTCATTTCATAACAAATGTAAAATACTATACAATTTTTTGAAATGTCAGGGTTCTGATTGTTCGGATGTTAAAGTTGAAACGGTTATTTCAGAACACTAACTGACAGCGAAAGAAAGATTAACTTCTTCTAACTAACCAATTGTAGGAGATCGTCCTGTCTCAAGAGATGTCGCTTATCCGCTCTGGAAGCCAGCAGCCTGGCTGCTCCGAACCTCGCCGCTCCGCCCGCGCCCCCCGCCCCTGTCATACCGCCGCGAGTAAGACGCCGTAGAGCGCCACGGAATGCCTGTTACAAAATTATATTATTAAAATTAATTATTATTCAGAAACAGCAAGAAGATTCAAATGGCACTGAGCAGGACACGTTGCGAGGATGTCAAACGGCAGATGGGCAAAAACTGTGACCGTGGCCAAAAGCCTACAAACAGAAGATCGGCAGGCCCAAAAGAAGATATGTATACAAAAACTTCAGGGAAGAAACAAAGCATTGCGCACATTATTTATTACGCATTATTTTATACTTTGAAACAACCAAAAACATATTAATAATCTAAAATTTCATTTTCTAATAATGTATGTAATAAAGGCTTTTTATTGCATTGCTGAAATATTCTTTACAATTATATAAGTGAAAACTGAGTAGGACATGGTGCAAACAGATTTGTGTGATGCACTATCTTTGTTTACAGGCAAGGGCAAGACTACAGTACTAATAGTAGTACTAGCCCCGGAAAGGATTTTAGGGGATAAATTTGAGCCCAGGATTTTGTGTACATTATAACGCTTATGCAACACAAAAAACTTTTAAACTTAGGCAAGAAAATAAGCCTCTACCATTATTTTTATGCGCAAGACAAAACTTTTTAATACTACATGAAAACAGACGCGACTAGCATATGATAAATTTTAAATTATTTATGCAAATCTCGTTCCCGTTAGTAAGGCATGGGAACAAAACACAGGTCTAGATAATTTTACATTAATTATAAATACCTGAGTCCTTTCAGCTTCCCGTTTCCTCTCGTTGAGGGCCTCAGCCAACGCCTCCAGCCTCGTCAGAGCACGTTGTAAGGAGACGCGGTCCGCGTGACCTGGAGGCGTGTGTTTTAAGAGATCCTGCAAAGTATGAACTCTATGTTAAAAAGGAAGTTAGTATATAAAAACAATTGTTAATATAATATAAAATCATTGTTACAGTAACTCATTTTTAAATTTAATTTAATTACAATTTTTGTATAAAATGATACCAAAAACTGAGAGCTTTCTAATTGCATTTTAAATTAGGACCAAAGCCTGTATACTTGAACAAAGAACGAGTTTTTGTAGAAGGTTTGAAGGCGAATTGAGTTTTACTAACTCAATGCTCTCCGTAAAGGGGAAATGGAGAAATGGGAAAAACGGTTTTTAAATAATGCGGATTGATCAACTAGCCTACCGGTGTTCCGATAAAAAACAATAATAATAAAAAAGAAAAAAAATGTGGTTTTCTTTTTAATGTTTTTTTTTAATTACTATAATGTAAACATTTTGTGATATTTTTTGGTTTATATGTATTCATTTGATCATGTTTTACTCTATCCAATGGACCTTACCTGCAAGAACATAATGAACTGTGGAAACCGTTGCACCGGCTTCACCATGAGACCGAAGAACGAGAGCCTGTCGTGTGCGCTGATCTGCTTCACTTTAAAAAAGTCTGCCAGCGCCGATTTCCGCTTCGACTCCATCTTCGCCAATTCCATCGCCACAGAGAAGTTGTTTATGAAGTCCGAATACACATCCAGCACCACGGCCTTTGAGAACGCGTTCAGGAAGACCTCGCCTGCGTAATAATAATAATATGGCTTTAAAATACGAAATATGTTAAAACTTTTATTGTCGATTGTCCGTAATGTATATTTCCCGTTAAAAACCTCCTGACTTGAGTGTTTTATTTAAATGTGTACTTCTCGCTCGTAATGTCGCTCGCTCGTTTGATAAGTCATCTATTAACAAATTCGATCACCCAAACAGACAGAAATGTGTATACGTTTAACCATTTCGCTACAATGGCGGTGCTGCGGCGTTTATACGCGTAATCGTATGAAAATTAAATTAACTCCGTAACGAAGTAGTTTAACATCAAACAAAACAGAGTAAAGCTTTATCAATCTGGATGTAAATACATCGCCACGTTTTTAGTCCACGTAATCCGTTACATAAGCACTTTCGCTCGCAACTCACCTATCTTTTCGTCGCGGTCCCACGTACGCGCGCAGTCGGCTAGAGCGGTGCGGAAGTGCAAATGGCACTGCAGGATGTCCGGCAGCCGGTGGAACAGCGTCTGTATCTTGCCAGCGTTGAGGATGGCTGGGCTGCTCTCCTCCAACGGCTTCTTGTAGTCCTAGAAGGTAATTGATTCTTCAGTTGACGAGTATATCACATAGAATCGAACGAGGGCTGTAAAGATTTAAATTTAGACGTTCGATTTTCAAAAATTACTTAACCTTCTAAAAAGCCCAACATAGTGAATAAGTTTTATGCTTAACTTTTTACAGACAACATTTTTAAAGACAACGTTTTACTCAATTGTCTCATATAAGTTATAAACATTATTATTGATTTATAGAATTATTTAATTTTTTGAACATCCCATTTTATTTTCTTTTAGATTTTAACGCATTATTTGTATTATATACATTTCTTTAAATCATTTAAAACTTATTCAATTATATGTATAGATAGGAAGATTCATGGTTGTATAATATATATTTGTACTGCCATAGTTATTAACTTATAAATTACTTTAGTCATACATGAACTCGAATGTAACGTTGCACGAATTTATTTAAAAAAATAAATATATACAAATATTAATTTATTTACATTGAAACTGTACATACAATTTGTAGTAAGTTCTGAAGTAAATAACGTGGATCGAGGGTTGGCGTGTGTGGTTCAAGTATAACAAGTAAGTTAGTTTATCGCCTTGCCATGAAGATTAAAAAGCTATTAAAAACTACTAAATACTAAAATACATATATACACATTTTTTAACGTGAGAAACCACTTGTTTGTTACGATAGGGGGCATGAACTCGAATTTTAGGTTTTGCAGCAGTTCCCCGTGACCACGGCTACTGCAAAGCATCCGAAACGTGGTGCCGTAGTTAAAATAATTTTCAAACAAGTTTAACTAATATACATCGCGTTTTAAACCGTTAAAATAATTTATTTAATTTATGTACACGCGTAAACTACAGACTAGTGTATTTAATTATAAATCATTACACACATTGACATCACCGTGATCTCGCAATTGCGATAAAAACTCATGTCCGCGTTCGTCATCCATCAATTTACATTACCCGTTCAAAGTAAACACTGCCGACAAAACTCAATTTGAACATATAAACGTTGTGAAAGCACTACGAAACATAGTTATTATAACAAGCTCTGTAATTCCTATTTAGTATAACTAGTACTTTTAAACGTATTTATTAAAATGCATTTGTAATAAACTAAATGAATTCTAACAATTTGGCAATGTTTTACCATAGTAATAAAATTTGTTCCATGGGTTCACCCAGGAACGAATAGATGATTCGTTCGCTCGCGCTAGCGCAACACTAGGCAACACGTTTAACTATTTATCAAACAAAGATAGATAACACGAGTGTAGTCCTAATCTTATTCAAATTAAAAATCGATATTAAATTCATATAATGCCTTCCTTCTTGATATACCCCAGCTTATAGCATTTGAACAAGTGCGCTGTCGACCTATTTTGGCTTGGGATATTCGAAAATCCACTGAAACCGAAACGCGATTAAGCTTCACGGCTTTTTCATGTGTGTGGCGGTTCGTGACCCGGGAGCAATTTTTACATTTGTCCCCCCCCCCACTCCCCCAATTTAATATCCAGGTTTTCAGACGAAGTCCAGTATGCTTCAGAAATATTATAAATTGACAATTAGTGTCAGATAGTATGAATAATTAAAGCAAGGGGTTTTATATATCATCTTTCGTTCTGTTTGTACGTGTGTTCGTAATTAGAAGCTAAAGATAATATCTACTAGTAAATTCAAATAACCTTCGACCCTATCAAATTGTTATATCTCCTTCAATCAAATCGACCCAGATGGCGCCAGTTAATAAAACAGCAACGCAGTCAACTCGCAAATGGAATATGGAGTCTGCCCCACTTCCTAATATGCAAATCCATAACATGTAAATTGAGCGAACAATACAAGTAGGCCACACATTTTGTTGTCTGTTTGTGTTCACTCATATTCATTTTTCGACTAACTATTCTACTCAAAAAACAAAAGGATTTAAGAAAACTTAGAAAGTCAAAGGTGATGAATTGTAGACATTACTTACAACACCGTTACTATTTTGTATACTCTGCTATATTAGAAGTGTGAAAGTTTAGTACTTTTATATAAAACACTTCTAACGGTTTAAAACGCGGAATGTATTAGATAGCTCCTCGGTCTCGCTCAATTCACAGTCCATGGTTGTGTTCTGTACGGACCCAGCTAGTTTCTCTAAAACCAACTACAAGGAAACAGATGGCGCTACCGTATCACCCCCGTGATTACGGCGGCTGTTGAGTATTGGAAACGTCAAGCCGTAGCTAAAAAATGTAAATAAGTAAAACTAATACAATTCGCGTTTTAATCCGTTAAAAGTGTTTTAATCAAATATGTACTCGCGTAACTATAGACCATCCTTAAGTGTGTAACTTTTTTCGTAAAACTTTATGAACACACACAGCATTCTTTGAGGACAGTGTGATACAACATCAGTGCGAAAATTTGTATCTTGATTTGAATCATTTTAATCAATGTAGGTAGAGTTATAGAAACACTTAAACATTTTACAGTTAAGTTTAGAAATAGATCTATCATAAGCCGGAGATCGTAAAAAGATCGTTAATTTTTAACCACAAATACAGATTAACTTGAAACTTGAAGGAAATTGTGCAACGATATATGGTCATATCAATAAACAGTGGATTAAGTGGTCAGTTAGCCTACTCTTTAAACGCAAATCGTTGTAAATGGACAGTAGAAGAGATACATTAACACAATTCGTGAATACCACGTCTCACATACAATACGCTAAACGCGTAACTGGTCCGTTATGCAGAGCATGAGTGAATATAAAAAGATTATAACGAAAATAATATATAAAAAAGGTATAGTAGATCGAATCCACGACCCGTCGATTATTAGCTATTCATTGCTACCATTACATCAACGAGCAAGTCATTAAAAAAAAACACTTAACTGTTTAAAACGCGTCGGCCGGTAGTTAAATTGAATTAAAAATAAAATAACTAATGTTTCGCGTTTTGAACCGTTAAAAGTGTTTTATTTAAATGTGTAACAATCGCCAAAACTAGACAATACTTAAATAATATCTTTACAAACGGCGTTTACTTAATATTGGTCTCTGTATGACTAGAGTAACGGAAAAAAAACCGCCATAACCGTTATAAATAGGTTTTTTAAATTGTATATCGGTTTACAAAATAAATAAAAACAGAACTTACAGTTAAACAAAAGTTAACCTGCTGTATAAAGGCCTTTTTCATTTTTTTATTATTTCAACACCATCTCTTGTCTTGGACATTTCCAAAAATTCGCGTTAGGAGATCAATATGATTGTTATCACGAAAAATAAATCAATAATCGGCCCACTGTTGCAATTCAATCAAGCAGCATGTCACACCTCGCATTTGTAATAGTGGGAACAATTCTCGTTAATACGAGTCTTGCGCAAGAGCAATTTAAAAAGCATGTCTAATCTCTATCAACATCGCCGCACTTCCTTTGCAAATCGGCTGTGACGTGGAGAATTTATAGTATGCTAAGTGTTTACTGCAAGCTAATTATGAAATATTTCTTTGCATAAATATATGTATAGTGAATCGGAATGCATTACAGGTGTTGTACAGTATGGTGTGACGTCACAGATATAGGTACTTGACAGGGCAACTACTACTACTAGGCAATTGACGCAACTTAATAAACGTTATCATCTTTTTATATGAACTAAGTGTAATTTGATGATAGAGGATAGGCAAGCACGTGGTTCACTTAATAGTAATTGAAATATCCGAGCCATATAACATTTAACAAGATGCGTTGGCGGCCTATTTTAGCTTTGGGTATTCGGAAATACAGACTGAACCCGAAACGAGACTGTAGTTCAGGTGTTTAAAGCAGTTATTTATCGCGAGAGGTTTCAGGTTCGAAGCTTGTTTAAAAAAATCAGGGTCATCCGTTGTGTTACCACGGGTGGAAAAAGGAAATATTATATTGTTAATAACGCAGTATTTTTATTATTTTTTGTAAAAAAACAACAGGATTTTATTAAATAATTACATTTTGAATTTTAGTGATAAACGTTATTGATATACCACACTTTTAAATAATAAACTTTTAACGGTTTAAAACGCGAAATGTAGTTAAACTCGTTGTTAAAAAAATATTATAACACTATTAATCCTAAATTTAGTATAGGTAGACTGAATTGTCTTACTTAGTAAATTTTCTTAATATATACCGAAGTTCTACGTATTCAAATCTCCCAGTGACCACGGCTGCTACAAAGCATCCGAAACGTCGGCCGTAGTTAAAAATAATTTTCAAACAAGTGTAACTAAAATATATCGCGTTTTAAACCGTTAACGTGTTTTATTCAAATGTCTACTACACGCGTAATCTACCGACAGTATTTATATACAATTTAATTTAATTCTCAACTCTTCTCACTAACACAACACGGCCAATAGCCGTTGCCATAGAAACACTATCTCGCGATGTTAATGGTTTGTTAACAAGTAGTGTTTCACCTGGGATTGCGAAAAGCAAATATTTGCAGCGGCCTTGTAATTACTGGATATTTGCCCAAGTTAAACGTTAGTACTTGAGTTGTGTTAGCGTTCAAATGTTTATAGTGGCATGGGTGGACAGCTGGACAAACCGTGGGTTACGAAATCTTAACTAACGACTGTAATACGCAGTGAAATAATAAATGTATACGGCTAATAATCAATAAATCGTGGGTAATCGATCCCCACCGGGTCTAACATTTTTTAGATCAATTTATAATTTTTCTTCTGGAAATCTGGATATTAAATGGGTACGAATATCGTAATTCCCTGCGGGTCACGAACTAACATCCACAGATGAAAAAGCCGTGAAGTTTAATCACGTTTCGGCTTCAGTCTATGGATTTCCAAATATCCAAACCAAAATAGGTCGACAGCGCAAGTTTAGATGCTATAGGCTGAAGTTTGTCACCTACCATCAAGTGAGCCCTATGATTGTCTATCCTCGTCTATCTTAAAAAAAAATGATATATATATGAATGATGCCCGTGGGGCATTGGACCGCCTCTGTAGCCAAATAGTTACACGTGTTGCCTAGCATTGCGTTAAGCACGAGAGGTCCGAGTTCGTATTCTGGGGAAACGATACATTGTTTCGAATTTCGGTTATGTAATCAATCATCTATCGAAAAACTGTGACAGGTGGTAAGAGCAACAGTACGAAACCCTATAGTCGTGGGTTTGACCCCCGCTCGCGATTATTTTTAATAAAGCTACCGTGTGCATGCTATCTTTCAAATTATATAAATAATATAGCTTATTACGAATATACGAAACACAAGGTATGACGTACAATTCTAACTAGCGTCGGTAGGTTATGTTTTCAATAAGGAAAATACATGTATCACCAAAGTACATTGACCTTTCTTAAAAATTGGCAGCGTTTATTAAAAGTACTCCCAGGAAGATATATACAACTGTCCCTTGACTGCTGAAAATTGGAAAATGTAGGCATGTCTTATTTATCTGGACTCCAAATTATACATCTATACTAATATTATAAAACCAAAAGTTTGTTTTTGTGTTTGTGTTAGTTGAACCATTTGTCGAGGAAGGCTCTATGCTAAAAAACATTAGGCTGATAGCAATAGGAGCGAGGAAACTGCGGGAAACGGGGAAAATTTTCATCTTTTGAGCTTTCGTTGTGTACGCAGTAAAAACAGTTCAAGCTACGCAAGAAAACATGTAAGTAAGAAAGATTATTTTCTCTACGACGCTATATGTCTATCTTTAAAGATTATCTTGCAAGAACGACGGCACGTAACTATCGTCGGGTGTAATAGTTTAAAAGATGAAGGGGAGGTTTGCAAAAACAAATTTGGATGTCCAAGATAACAAAAAATTCTACACGAACCAAGTCGTTGACACAGGTTATATACTTCATATGGTTAAAGAATCATCAGTCATCTAGTCTATAATACTCACATTAATAAGTCGTTGTAACGTCGCTACGTATGAGTTTTCGCTGTGAATAATAGCTGCCACCACATGGCGTCGCCGTAGCTGAACTGGCGTTAGGGATTCTGGTGGCGGTCCGAGGGCCGGTGGTGGTATTCGACCGCCACGCAGCTCGCCACCGCAGGAGAACATATCCTCCTCCAGCTGGAAAGAAAACGACAAATAAAATAAGTTCCTAAACACCATAGGGGTCCTCCATAAAGTACGTCACACGTAAAAGGGGGTCGACAAAGTGTGTCATGGTGTGACAAGAGGTGGGAGGGGTCCTAAGTTTCGTGACATCACATTTTAAAATCTAATGTATCTTGCTAATCGCGTGATTTGAAACATTAATTAAACTAAAAAATATTTCCAACTCTATCGAATAACGAAATAAAACTAATTTCGGAACTGCTGTTTTAATTTAATAATTTTTCGATGTGAAATTGAAAAACATGTGACGTTACACTAGGGAGGGGGGGTCTCAGAATTGTGACCACCTCTGACAAGGACGGGGAGGGCTCAAAAAATCATGAAATACGTGTGACGTACTTTATGGATGACCCCATACAACTGTAGGTAACATTATTACTTAGTTAATTATTTTGACATGTCACGGTAAGGTTAATACGAAGTATATTAGAAATGTAATTTGTATTTTTTTATGATAGAGAAGAGCAGACAATGGGGTCACTCGTTAGTAGGTGATATAGGCCAGCCTATAGCATCTAAACATCGCTTTGGAGAGGCTTCTTGGATTTTCGATCTGTTTGGCTGTGCTAAGAAATCGTTGTGGAGAACAATTTCTCTATGACGACGGAAGAAATATCTAAGGCATACATATCTAATTTGTTACACTTAAAAATACTTGTCTTGTAATTATTTTACTTTCGTTTAATTAAAGTGAAATAGGAATGTCTAATTGCTTACGTGTTGAGGCTGTCGGCTTTTATTAGGTATTTTATTAAACTATGTTTTATAACTCAACAGTTCCGAATAGCATTGTAATTCTATCATGGACACTGTAATTACAAAAAACGCAATGACTTATTAGTAAGTAGTCGATTTGTGTGGGACAGTGTAGGTGTTAATATAAGCCAGATTAGTAACAACCTTTTTGCTTATAAAAATCTCAGTAAGTGAATATTAGTGATTCACTTATTCTACCAGTAAGTTCCGAGAGTATGAAAAAGGTTTAACAAATGCCGTCTGTAGTTTACGCGAGGAGTAGACATTCGAACAAAAGACTGTATCGGTTTAAAACGCGACATATATTAGTTAAACTTTTCTGAAAATTATTTTAACAAATATACATCGTTTTAAACCCTTAATGTGTTTTATTTTAAAGGTTTAACAACTTTCGCTACTTATCTATTTTTTAAGAAATAAAAAATCAATTTTGCAGGTACTTTATACTCACTCGATAAGTTTTAATCACTATATTACACGGAACTAACATTTGGAATAAGTACTTAACATTACGTTAGTAGTTGAAACCATCACTTTGATAGCTGTTTAGCAAATATACATAAATATTACTATCAACATAGATTTCCAAATATCGACGTGTAGCCACTGCAAATTTTGTAATATCAATGACTATATTCGACTCGCATAAATCCATAATTTTCCTACACCAATAATTCCTGTCATAAACCGCGAATGAATAATAGCCGAAAAGATAATATTACAATTCGTTGAATAATACAGCTGTTGTCCTTTGCGAACACGCAGAGCGTATACGGACATATGACGTCATCAAATCTTGACAGATAGAAGGAGTAATCGAAATTTCATATTAGCGCCATCTCTTATCTCAAAAGTCGCTGATTTGATTCGTATTTGTCACACCTGTTTGATGACGTCATATTTCACATAAATATTTAATGACCTCAAATAAAGAAAGATGATGCCAATGTTAGACTGATTAATTAGATATATAAACACCCAAAGGATGGTTTATTTACTGTACTGTACAAAAGAAAAACGTAGAAACAACAAATACAAATAAAACGTATAATATCTTTCATAGATAGAGAGAAAAAATGAAAATAAAAACTTATTATCTTCGAATTGCCATAAAATTATTAAAGTGCTTTTTACAAGTTTAACAACAAAACAAGGTCCTGTTCTTAATTGGGCTAAACAGATCCGTGTCGAATCTAGACAAATGTTTAATGGTCTCGAAATAGATAAGTACTAATGTTTCTTGAAAGGAGCGCGAGTACAATCGACGGAAGAATTTATCTCAGGGCCTTGAAAGCGGTAAACGTAATTATTATAATTGCAAAAACAAGCGGTTAAAGAAAAACGTCGCATGCGCATGATGCGTTGACGGTGTCTAGATGTTACTATTCGCTGTGTTTTTGTTGCGTGAGCGTCATTGGGAAATTTTGCTGGCACGCGTCGAAAACACAGAATACTAAATAATCCAGAAGGAGTGATTATAACACTTTAACCAGCAATTCGTTTATGTTTTGTCAACTTTGGGATATAATAAAAATTGGGATAAATGTAACTGTAACTACAACAGATATTTAAAGTTAACTTATCTATACTAATACAAGAGTTTGTTTGTTTGAACGTGTTTATATCAGAAACGCCGCGACTAATAGGCCCCAAGAAACAGCGGGAAATGTGGAAAATTATTCAATCTTGTGGGTTTCCGTTGCGTACACAGCGAAAACGTTTCAAGATACCCAAAAAATATGATTGACGAATGATTCCTCTTTTAATGATCTAAAAAAGGCCCGCGACGCTATATATATATATCTATATATCTTTTATCTTACAAGAACGATGGGACGCGACCGACGTCGTGGGTAACAGCTTAAGTTCAATAGATGAAGAAGTTTGCCAAAACGATTTTTTATGCCCAAAATACGTATTCTACGTGGACGTCGCTGTCACAGCTACATATAAACAATACATCACATTGAATTGATTGGTCTTACTATTCCAGTTTGGAGCACAAACAGCGACCTCTACTAACGTGTTTACATTGGGTTATTTCGTATTTCGCGTGCGCATCTAAAGCGCGAATGTAAACCGGTCGTAATTCGTGCGCGCTGACGTCACAATCATCTGGACACCATCCATCGCCCAACTCCATCACCCAGCCAGTCACGTGACTTACGTCAAACAGCATCGAGTACTGGGCTTTGTCACGGAGTATCCTGACACAGAACATGATGGAACCGTCGACGAGGTACCACTTTTGACATTCGCGTGCAACACGTTACACATGCCGTCTCACTAAAAATATACTGATGTGAAAAATTACAATCGCGTACATGGATCCACTATGAACTGGACAGAGTTATATCACATGTTTAAATAGATAGTTTGTATAGCGGACGCGCTAACTCAACATCGAGGCGTCGCTACGATGGCTTATTGAATGCAGACGACCGATCATGATTCATCTATCGTACAATGTGAATCATGCCTATTAATTGAAGCTTTTGTAACAAGTGGAATTAAAGATGGCGCACGAATGAATGAAGACCTATAGGGGCCATCTGTACGTTACGTTAATATAAGTGACAAATTGTGACGTCACAAAAATAATTAAGTACCCTCTCCGAAGATTTCGGAAGGTAATCGTAAAGGCTCACGTTAGTGTTTTGTATTTTTTTATATAATATTTAATTTAAGGAACAAATTGTGAAAACACAAAAGTGCCCCTCCGAACATCGTTACACAATACGTCACTTCACGACACCGAAATGATTTTTTATTCAGGAAACATAACAGATACAATAAGAAAATATATATACAACTATAGTAACTGACTTAATAAATAATTTAATTACGGCCCGATTTAACTTAGAATTCAACTAAAAATATAAACGCTTTTTCTAATTACAACTAGTGTTATTATTGAAATTGAGAACGGTTTTAAACCAGACCTCGGCTTATTTATGTGTACTATAGACAGACGTAATTCCTGTATGTTCCCTCACTACACACGCTGCGATAGCCGTACCATGTCAACGACCACGTATAACAATGTCCATTTAGGGCCTCGGGGGAGATTATTGAATGATATTATTGTGCACGTTACCGCTTTCAAGGCTTCACGATAGCCAACGCGAAACCAGGTGAAGGTTTTTAATTAAATTAATTACGAGCGCCGAATTAAATTTGAGTGATAGTGCGTGAAACAATTAACAACCTTATTACCAAATCTGCTTTCGTACAACCCACATTTTGAAATGCCGTTATTTGGTGAAATGCTGTATGCATTATTTTTACCAGACGAAGGTGAGGCCAAAATGGGTAATGAGCCTTTGCGTTTAAATAAAACACTTTAACGGTTTATAACGCGATATATATTAGTTAAACTTATTTGAAAAGCGACGTTGAGGATGCATTGCATGCAAAGATGGATGGAATCCCTGACATCAAAGTAAAAACTGCCACGCTAGCGCCATCTACCTATAAGTTAGTCGAAATTTAGTTATAAGTTATATGTTTGTAAATATCTTAAAATGGCAATAAAAATTTTGAATTTGAATTTGAATCTGTTGCGTCAAATTTAGTATTCGGCGAATTGGCGGTAAAATAATATTCAAATAACTTTATCTAAGCCGTTAATGTTTTATTGAAATGTGTACTACTCACGTTAACTACAGATAGCATTGAAATTCTTGTATTTAAAACATTCTCGACGATCGGTAAGAACATCGCGTGACAAAACGCGCCATCTCCGAACGAAACGCTCCGAATGAATTATTCAAAGCGCATTATAACTGACTAACCCGATTGCGGTATCCTCGGCTGAGGTACTGAACTTTTCACATATAAATCCACGCGGGGAATGTCGTTTGTAAGTTTGTACGCGTTGCCTTATTTGCGACCCTGTTACGGTCATATACCGCGTTCGACATACTTGCACGGCTGCAAGAATTCATATAGCCTAACTGGACAATCGAATCAAAGGATTAATGGCAAATTGTGTTTATCTTTGTCGTCAAGAAGGGTTTGTGTATTCGATGATGCACGGTTTTAAATCTATACTAGTATTACACATAGTGTGGTCCAAGTGCAAGAACAAGACGAGACTTAGCCAGTCTTGGTCTTGGTCTATAAAAAATGAATGAACAAGATCAAGACTGAATTAGGGCAACACTAAATTTATACAGCTGAAGAGTTTGTTTGAATGCGCTAATCTCAAGAACCACTGGTTCGAATTAAAATTTTATTTTGTGATAGTTAGAGCAAATACTGTCTATAATTTACGCGAGTAGTACACATTTAAATAAAACACTTTAATCCAACACATCCGAAACGTCGGGCCGAAATTAAAAATCATTTTCAAATAAGTTTAACTAATATATCGCGTTTTAAACCGTTAAAGTGTTTTATTTAAATAGTTAGAGCATTTATCGTGGAAGGCTGTAGGCTATAAAAGATTGCGCTGTAACTAATAGGAGCGGAGACACAACAGGAAATGTAGGAAAAACGGAAAAAATATTCGTCAACTTTGTAGTTTTCCGATGCGTACTCTGCTAAAACGGTATACGACATTATAAGCCTAGCTGTTAAGTGTAACGAACAAGACCTATGTTTTAATAAAATTTCATCGAAATATTCCAAATGGCAAAAGAACGTGTACCAGGGCAGCTAGACTAAAATAAATATCAAATTAATATATAAAAAACTGTTTTTAAAGGCTACCTTTTTTTAAAACTAAAACAAAAGAACTTAACGCCTTTTGCCATTAACTTACATTACAAATAAATATTAATAGTAATTTTCAGTAGGTGTAGGTATTTTAGATTCGAATTGAGAATTAAGTTTTGTTTCCACAGATATTTTACGGGAACTCTGCGAAAGTGATAGATGAACTTATCGAGATTTTGACTAAGATGGATGTTCCTAGTGCGAGCTGCGGAATGCAAGGTAAACCGTAGGATGTACCCGACCCAGTTAAATTTAGTATTGGCGCCGAGAATTCGAATGTTTTCGTATTAATTCCTGACGAGAAATAACAAACAATTTTATTCTTGAACGGCTATAAAAAGATTTCACACCTGCTTTTAAAAATAGCTTTCTTTGTTCCTGCGACTTGCATATGGGTTGGTAGGTTACGTTACAATCGGTTTGAACTCTAGTGTATACGATATAAGTGTGTGTGTGCTGTTGTTCTTATTCACACTAATATTATAAAACTAAAGGGGTTGTTTGTTTGTTTGTTTGTTGGTTGATCTCGAGAACTACGGGTTCAAGTTAAAAAAAAATATGGCGTTGGTTGGATCGAAATGCTATGAAACATCAGGGTGTGCAAAGAAACGGAGGAAAATGTGAGAGAACCGGGAAAATAATTCACCTTTGAGGATTTCCATTGCGTGTGCTGCGAAAGCGGTTCAAGATACCCAAAAAAAATAAAAATATTTGTTTTTAAAAAATCTAAAAAAATTGTGCCAGTGTATATTCTTTTAAGATTTTACCACAAGGACCGCTTTTATAGCAAAGTATGTATATAAGTCAATATGTTTGTAGTTTGTATCTATGTCTGTTTTTGTGATCCCATCTATGAGATCTACTTCACTGTCATACGGAAAAATACCAATTTGGGGAGAAAAAGATTGAAAATATTTCAATCTTTTTAACTTTATAAGCCTACTTACTTAACACACCGCTTCTTTATTCCTCTGTACGGTTTAAACCAAAATACTTAGCATAAACAAAGAGCAATGTATTACCTCGGGCAGCTTAGGCATCTTGTCCGTCTCGTGCGTGTGCATGTCATATTGGTGTGTGGAACCACGTCTCACGCTGAACCACCTCGCCAGCCTCCCCCCGCCTTCGTCTTCTGGCGCGGGAGTCGGCGGTGACGGCGTACTGCTTCCGCTGCGCCATCGCTCGCACAACTCACGCGCACGACTCAGTGTATTTCGAAGCTGACCGCTGCTTCTGGACAATAGAGACGAAATATAAGAGACACATAATAATATCTATAGTAATATTATAAAGCTGAAGAGTTTGTTTAAACGCGCTATTTTCAGGAACCACTCGTTCGCATTGAAACAATATTTTTGTTTTATTGGTTGGACCATTTATCGCGGTATGCTTTAGGATATAAAACATCAGGCTGTGACTAATAGGAGGGAGGAAATAAAGGGGAAAATTAATCTTTGACGACTTTTATTGCGTGCGCTGTGAAAACGGTTCAAGAAACAATAAAAAAAGTATAAAAGAACGAACTTCTTTGAATTATCTAAATTATTAAAAAAATATATTTACAAAAAAGTACGGGACATTATAATATGTCTATCTTTTTAAGATTAAATTGCAAGAACGACGGGACACGAACGAAGTCGTGCGTAACAGCTAGTGTTTCAAATATTTCGACAAGCGCCGTAACTACATCCTGAACTCTTTGTGCCAATATCAACCATACCAAATCAATGTATAATTAACGGTTATTTAAAATATTGAAAAGTATAAACCAATAACTGAAAACTAGTTGTAAAAACAAATAGGTCATTCCAAAATACGTACGCTTTGAAGTTAATCAAACAAAAAAATGTTTACAACTGTATTTTATTTACAGCTAAACCCTTGATCGAAAGTTGAAAAGAAACTATACTTAAGTTTATCGTAATAAACAAACTTAATGAATAGGAATGTGTCAATGGCGTAAAAGGAATAATGGAAGCAGTCCAGCGTTCTTGAATCATCAATCGACGCGATACTGTCTTAGGCTTCGGTCTCCTATAAAAGTTTGACGTAACGCGATGGTACGCGTCAAGATATATATTTAAAAAACCTATTCGTTAGGACGTTATCATATAAGATAATGTTGTTCCTAATAGCCAACAAACAATGATCACGACGAATAAGATGATAAATTTGTAAATTTCGTCACCATCGTGTGAACAGCGTATGAAAGAGACAACAATAGAGCATTTCTATCGTATTAGGCGGCGCTGTACGATATACGGCGTTTATATAAGACCACAGCCTAACATCTAGCGGATGACTTGCGCTTCATTAAATGCCATTACGGATAGGATATGGACACTCAATTAACGCAGATTGCGGAAGCAACGGTGGGAAAATCAAAATAATTGTACGTGGTAAAACTAGAAACTGTATTATTGGACTTTCTTGTAATTATTCTATATCTGTTTCGAAATTAAGAAAAAACTTTGACAGAGAAAATATAGGAAACGGTAACTTAAGTTATTATATTTGCAATGCGGCACGAAATAAAGCTATACATAATTTGTAACTCTACAATACTACAAACAAAATAGTGGTATTAGCTAATTTAATTTAAACATGTAAAATTGATATTGATGATTAGAAACTGATGTTTAAAAACATTAGCACATTACACTTATATTATAGAGAAAAAGAGCTTTAGGCAAGTGAGTCTACAATTATGTATGTGTAAGTTGTGAGTGTTGAAAATATGTTTTAAGATAATTCAATTGTTTAAATAAAACATATTAACGGCTTAAAACGTCCAACGGACTCCCCGTAGCGTGATGATTTTCAAATAAGTTTAACTATTATATATCGCGTTTTAAACCGCGTTAAAGTGTTTTATTTAAATGTACTACTCGTGTAAACTACAGACAGTATAAATCTGTTATCTGTATCAGGAAAATCTGTTTTTACACGAAGAAAAAGCTAAATATATATAAAAATATACCCATTAAGTAAGCGAATTTGGTCAAGCTAAGTGAAAAAAAATCTAATCTCTCTTACTCAAAGATCTATTGTAAAACATACCAACCTAATTGGCTATTTTTCTCTGCTATCGTCATAAGGACTTTGATGTTACAAACGATGGAGTCACACGTATAGAATTAACCAATGTTTTTCAAATAAAAGACAAGGACGGCAAAATATTGACTGTTGAGTTAACTAATGGACCGCAGCGAGGATGAAGTGGCAAAATGCTAAACAAAGAGACGACAACACAATTAATATCGCTTACAGACAATAAACAGTAGATATTGTTTAATGTATTAGATTGTTTGTAAATGTATTAAATCAGAGTCGTGATAGAACGTGCCCAAGGTCTGATAATAGTCTAGACTTGACTAGCACTGTTATATTTATCCAAACGAACTATTAAAACGCTAAGATAAAATTTTAATATTGTAATTGATTTTAATCCCTTAAATTGGAAGATGTATCAAAACGAATAAATATGTAGCTATTGTAGTCTATTAAATACCAAGCTAGACTATAAACAATATTTAATGATCAGACGACACTTATTCTTAGAGCTAGTATAAATACAATGGAAAAAATTACATCATCCACCAAGGCTAATAAAATTATTACTTCTAAGCATGACGTACGACAACTGCATAAAATATTAAAGGAATAAAGCTCTTTTCAGAGTATACTATAATATAATAGCTTGTAGCATACATAATGACCCAACAATGTCTAACCATAGATTATTATTATCCTTGGATATTCACAACCTAAAGTATACTGTTGACGGTGTCATATTATTGGCGTGCTATAAATCTATACTAATATATAAAGCTGCAGTTTGTTTGTTCGTTTGAATGCACTAATCTCAGGAACTAATGATGGGAATTAAACGGTTATAATTCGAGCATTTACCGAGGAAAGCTATAGGCTATTAAACATCGCGATGCGACTTATAGGAGCGAAGAAACAGCGGAGAATGTATAAAAAATGGAGAAAATTATTCATCCTTGTGGGATTCTGTTGCGTACGATACGGTTTACAATAGCCAACGAATATGTGTGTAATATTCAGTATGTAAAAAAAGTCCGTGTCAGTGTATATGTCTATTTTTAAAGTAAACTTGCAAGTACGACGGGAAGCGAACGATGTTCGGTAACAGAATCTTAATAAATTCCTTCCCAGAATCATTCGGTCGGCCGAAGTTTTATCACAAATGTTACTTGTTTGAAATGTTAATTGAAGACAGGTTAATAAATTCTGTGTCGCAAGTTTCGTGAAACCTTGGGAGAAACATTTACTGCTAAGCGGTGTGAATCGCCCACGCTCTATTGGATTGTCACACGAAATAGCTTTTCAAAATGGTACCGCCGTAAAGCAAACGTAATTTATCCTAAAATGATATCTATTGTTTTGTGCTAAATACTAAAATAGCTTGCAGCCAACGCGACAGAACAAGGTTTCCTGAGTTATGAGGTATTCTGTAAACAAAGTTATTAAATGAATTTACACAGACGACGCACTGTCTACATGCACGGCTTATCTTAACAGCATGACCTATACGCTTGTCATAACATGCATAAAATATGTGGTGAGTACATAAATAGGTATATCTATTTTAAATAAAACACTTTAACGGTTTAAAACGCGATATATTAGTTAAACTTATTTGAAAATGATTTTTAACTTCGGCCCGACGTTTCGGATGCTTTGCAGCAGCCGTGGTCACGGGGAGACTGACCCTGACTGTCTCCCCGTGACCACGGCTGCTGCAAAGCATCCGAAACGTCGGGCCGAAGTTAAAAATCATTTTCAAATAAGTTTAACTAATATATCGCGTTTTAAACCGTTAAAGTGTTTTATTTAAATGTGTACTACTCGCGTAAACTATAGACAGTATTTAGGTATATCTATATATATATAATATATTATAGGAATCATAAAAGATATCATAAGGGTGGTTACACACGTGAGTTTTTTGTTTTTGCTCGGAAAATTAATAAGATTTTCGCTTATGAAGAAAACACAAAACAAAAATACATTTATCATCAAACGACATATACATAACGCTTCTTAGTCAGAGACAAAATTAAGTTACTAAGTCGACGGGCTTGAGTAATGGTAGCAATGACTTATAATCAAATGGTCGCTCGTTCGATTCTCACGGTGTCAAAGAATTTTCTGAGCAATTCAAAATGTTTCTGAAACATGTAGGACTTCGTCTGGATCACAAACCACCATCCACAGATAAAAAAGCTGAAAAGTTTAATCTGCGTTTCTATTTCAGACTTAACTTTCAGCCGTAATAGATCGACAACGCATCTTTTTTAGTTGCTATAGGCTGGAGTGTTTCACCTACCATCAAGTGAGACCCACCTATCTCTCCTCCTCTAACATCAAAAAAGGTCGAGTCCCATCTAACTATGTTTGTCCAATCATTTGCGTGTCACAGTCCTTGCACGAAAAGCTTAAACCAATATGGCACAGTTCACTCGACCAGCTATAGGTATCAAGAGCAAACATCTGTTGCAACAACACGAATTTAGTTCTAAATAATATCTTAGTTATATCGAAACTGGTCGTAATGGGAAAGCGTCAAATTGTTTTATTTATACACTCCCACGTGTTTGAAACCGATCTTGGGAACTTGACATTTTTAAGTGCCAGCATTTTAATGTTTATACACACTAGCTCTCACTTGTGGCTCGGTTCGCATGGTAATTAAAGAAATAATACCAATACAGAAAAATGTGGTAACCAAACCAGCCCGTGCGCAGAGGGTTAGTGATAAGTAGTATTTTTTTAATAAAACACCTTTAACGGTTTAAAACACGAATATTAGTTAAAGTGATTTACAAAATTATCCTAACTTGACGTTTCGAATTCTTTGCACCAGCCGTGGTTTCCATATTACACCGTTAAAAGTGTTTTAATTTAATGTTTAATCGCGTAAGCTACAGAAAGACCTATTTCTTACTTAATCCTAACCTATATAAACAAATTGATATCGAACAAACCAGTTGTTTTAGTAGCTTAAAGCTTTATAATATTAGTATACAGTAGATAAGTGTATATATGTCCGTTAAAAAGTATCTACATTCTTGATATATTTTTAAATTAAAATCACTTTATTCTATTTGCCTTTATCGCCTTTTAAATGTGAATGGGTCATCTTGATACCGCATAATGTACAAGTGCTCGTTTAAAACGAAGCTTTTATTGCCAGTATGGGAATTGAATTTGCTTTGAGGTTTTTATCTTTGCTTAAAACACTTATATGCTTCTTGATTTGAATAAACAAAAGATATGAAATTGTGTATATATTTACATAACACGTATAATCTATAAAAGTGAAGCTTTAGAAGCAATTACGAACATTTGAAAAAGTATTATTTTACACCTACATAAATTTAAAAAAATGCTGCTCTTACGCAGCGCAGCAACACGGAACGCTGTGTCTGCTGGTTCAAGTCCCGCTCGTGTCTTTATTTTTTTTAAGCTAAATCGATTTTTAATTTAATTATGAACATTCAAAAGCAAGGAACAAGGTGGAGTTAAATCTTTATTTCACTTACATGAAGTAATGATTGTAAATGGTAATCTTAAAGAAAGGCTTTATTGAACATGTTTTATTTACACAATGTTTTTAAATAAGGAGGAAACTCATTCGACATTAAGAACACAACAATATTTACATGTCTTATTGTTTAAATAAAACACTTTAACGGTTTAAGCGATATATTAGTTAAACTTATTTGAAAATGATTTTTAACTTCGGCCCGACGTTTCATATGAATATATCGCGTTTTAAACCGTTAAAGTGTTTTATTTAAATGTGTACTACTTGCGTAAACTATAGACATGTTTTATTGCTTTTTTTTTAAGCGATAATTAATATAGGTTAGATCAAACTACTTATTACCCGATGCGTAATCCATGGCGTTCGGTCACAGTCTATGCCTACATCTTTGACAATTACAGTAACACAACAATAGGGGCCGGAATAATTATCCCGCACCTACAGTATAGTGAATTGTTTATCATTATCTGTGGTAATGCAAACCGTCTAAGCCTTGACATTCTTTTTATTATCTTTGAACGTGTCGAATCTATAAGAGGTAATATATAAAGCTTAAAGAGTTTGTTTGTTTGAACGCGCTAATCTCAGGAACTACTGGTGGGAATTAAAAAATATTTTTGTCTTAGTTAGAGCATTTATCGAGGAAGTTTATAGGCTATGAAAGATCGCTATATTATCGTAGATATATAATGCGACTATTACGCAGACGAAGTCGCCGACACCGGTAGTTAATAAATACAAAGTGTGATAGCTGCGTTTGCCCCGCGATATGCCTTCTCGCGGAATTACTCAGAGGTCATGCATTTCACTTTCTCATTATATGTCAATGTTTGGTTTTCGATTTTTATAATCCGAAAAAATGTCATGAGTCAATGTGGAAAGCGCGGGATGGAATTCGACGGACTAGAGCTGTCTGGTCAGAAGTCTCACGTGTAAATCGTACAGATAATACAGAAATAGGCTGTCAATTGGTTTGTTATTAAAATTTATCTATACATACGTAAAATTCAGTTAAATAACATACAGCTTAGAAATTTCAAGGCCGAGTGTTTTTTTATACTTAGATATGTCGGGCTGTAGTTAAAAATAATTTGTAAACAAATTTAACTAATATGTTTTGCGTTTTAAATTGTTAAAGTGTTTGATTTATATAAGAATATCTAATAATAACAATGTTTAAATGGCCTTAGCTTTAGATAACCTATTGTTACATATAATTAAAATTCTCAGTAGACTTATTTTGGCTTAAAACTCTTGTATATAGAAAGCCTGAAATCGAAACGCACGTTTTTCACTTCAAGGCCCTTTGTATCGGTATTTCGATACTACCACAAAAACAGTTAGAAAAATCCGCAAATTATTTATAAACCGGTAATTAAATGTTGCACCAGGTGGGAATCGGCCTCACAACACTTTGTTTAAATACTGTCTATAGTTTACGCGAGTAGTACACTTTTAAATAAAACACTTTAACGGTTTAAAACGCAATATATTAGTTAAACTTATTTGACAATGATTTTAACTTCGGCCCGACGTTACGAATGCTTTGCAGCAGCCGTGGTCGGCCGTCGTTCGTGGCCGAAGTTAAAAATCATTGTCAAAATTTTTTTAACTAATATATGGCGTTTTAAACCGTTAAATTGTTTTATTTAAACACTTTGTTTATTAGGACATTGGTAGCATTAAACCAACGAGCCTGACAAGTTTGTTTAAAATAAAGTGACGAAACATATTACTAAATACCCACAGAAGGCGTTCAGAGGAAACAATAGGTAATGTTTTTCGCATGAAAGTAAGTGCGAACAAAATATAACGGTAAGCGTAGTTCAAACGCAAACACCAAGAGGACATTACTATTGCTAATTAAAAGGTAAATGTTGTAAGTAAATGAGCCGAGCTCGGGAAACGAAACAATAGCTGTGTGCCTCGGTTAACATAGGATTAGATGCTTAAAGGTGAATGATCCACGAGAGTTAAGACTCCGCTTTAAGTTCTAATAGAAAACGAACAAAATCGTTGAGACCTTAAAAAAATTGCGATTTTATCAAATTAGGACAGCGCAGACGCATTCCTGCATGTTTTAATTTTGCTCTTTTTAGAGGCAAAATCGCTTAACAGCCGAAGAGACTTTTTTGTCAAGTTTTGGGTTTCTTTTTAACAGAAGTGCGGTAGTTTTTTTTTAAGAATTGTGAAATTGGACGATCATGCATTTGCATGATTGCATTTACTTTATAGACTTAGAAAAACATTTTATTTTTTCACATGCTATTGTTGTTTGCAATCCTAATAATTTTTTAACATTACACACATGGCTGGAAATAATTGTCAATAAAAAAAATTCTGAGGTAACCCTGGACCCATGGCGCTTTAAATAAGCCAGTGCCCCCAGTTGACTCGTGGTTCGTACACAGGAAATTTGTGTTAATTGAGTATGCAGCGACGCGACGACCGCTAATAATTGTCGAGCGCGACAGGACCACACCGTACAATACAGAGGAAGTGTGCATGTAGCAAGTATGTATCGCTAGGGCTGCCACAAGGAACAAAAAATGTAAAATAAAAACGTATGTACAGACTGTAGTTTACGCGAGTGTTATTGAAAAGTAAATTTTGAACGTAAACCGTTCAAAATTTACGATTACGCAGCGATTAATATATTTAAATTATAAAGTGCTTTTATGTAAAAAATAATAAAGTTTTCATATGTAAATTTGTTTAAGTCGCCCCGTGTAAAGCTAGCTAGACACATCTGTCAATAATAAAATAATTTAAATTCATATGTTTAAAAATATTTTTCTTACTCTGTGGAAACATTTTTTTTCGTTTTTTTTTTATATTTTTTGCAATTGTAGTCATCTTTAGAGAGAGATTTCTCTTCTTTACGTAAAAAAATCGAGAAAACAATACTTCAATAGTAGTGCAATTGTATTTTAATAATAATAACTATTAAAATATTATTTATTATATTATACAATTTTGGCAACCCTAATACGACACGAATACCAAGCTTAATGATTATAACGAAGCTCATTTTGAATTAGCTTAAAGTATCACTAGGATTATAGCTCACCCGTAAAACAAAAGATATAGCCATCGTGTTCTTAGCTTAACGGTATGTGTAACTATAAAGATAAGCTGTATGAGTGAATTGTGTAATTCTTGATTGTTTTGTGAGTGTTGGATATGATGATAACCAGATGACATTTGAAAATGTGTTGAAAATTGAATTTTATGTTATAACTAGCTGTGACCGCGACTTCGTTCACGTGGAATAGTGATTTGGGGTAGAACTTATAATTATTTAGGCTGTTTATTATTTTATGTAATTGCGCATTTATTCGCAGCGAATCTATGTTGTAAGTGCTACTTTGCTACAACACTCTCACCTCACCTCACTCCTTCTCTAACTCTCACTCTCACTCCACTCCCACTCCCAAAAAGCCAAAGAAGAAAGTTTTATTGTTCTAGCTTCAAAAACCACAAATTCTCATACAAACATAATCCCCCCCCCCCCTTTAACCCCTTACAACCCCTAAAGTAGTAAAAAAAAGTCCTATGTCCTTTCTCAGGGTCTAGACCACCTGTATACCAAATTTCATTCAAATCCGTTGAGTAGTTTTAGCGTGAAAGAGTTACAGACAGACAGAGTTACGTTCGCATTTATAATATTAGTAAGGATAAGATCTAGTAATTTTGACGGGCTCGTTGTTCTAATGGTAACAATGTATGGTTTACCAACGCTTCGTGGGTTTTATTACTAGGGGGGTTGGGACTGCTTTTGGACATCGGGGTGTTAAATGTGTGGTAGGAATATCAAAATTTCGTCACCAACAACCGTCCACAGATGAATTTTCAAATCTTCAGTCTGTGGATTTCTATCATCTTGCGATGTTATATGGTTGGATTATTTCATCTTCCATCATGTGAATCCTATGCTTGTCAGTCTAATAAAAAAAATAGTAGCTAACAATAAATATAGGAGAATCACAAATAAGTGAAAAACATTAAAAGGACTGGAAGCGCTAAGCACGTTGAAACACTTAAGCTCCCCTATTGCAATTGATTCTAATTTTGGAATCGTCATCAATCTTACTTAGAGCTCACAGACATTGGATCTACTTCCTCTGAGCTCTGCTTTGTCAGAGCATTGCAAGTCGAAACGTAAATATTCCAAATATTTGGTTCAAAGAGTTTTGCAAAACATATAGGCAATCAAAATGACGCTAATAATTTTTCATGGTTTAATATTGGACAGATTGGATACATAGAAAAAGTATTTATGGATGTACAATTACTTGTATATGACGATTATTCAATATATATGAGGTACCAAGCATAAAAATATAAAAAAATACCTCGAGTCCAACGTGGAGTTGAGCCGTTGCGAGCGGCGCAGCGGCGCGTTTCGCACCGCGCTGACTGGCTCCTCCCAGCTGCCACCGGCTGACCGATGTTCATCTGCACACATATTATTGTAATTATTATCTGTGCAAATTTGATACAATATGCAGAGATTAGAGAAATCATCAATTTGACTTTATGTGTAATTAACACAGCTCTCTACAATGTATACACATATATGACGTTAAGGTCATAAAAATACGAGCGAAACAGGGAGTAATAAAAAATCTTAATATTTCAAGCATTTATCTTGTATCAGAATTTTTTTAATACGCCGATTTAATCTAAGGTAAGGGTTAGTTACACTTATCGAACTTGTTTGAAATAATTTAAAGAATACCTACCAATAATATATCAAAGAAATTGGCAACATTAATTGGACGAAAACAATAAATCGATCGTTCCCCCACTTAACGGCTTTGTTTACACGAGATGTTCCAATTAATCAACTATAAATCAACTGTATCCATGTCGATAATTCATTTTTTAAATGGACCTTAATTAGACAATTAAATATCACATTATACACGCTAGACTACACTGATCGCGAAGCGTGGCATATTCTAGGTCTCTGACACCGAACAATAATTATTGTTAGTTAGTTTAATTAAACTAACAGAATCAACCATTGACCTTGCCGCTTAATAACTTTATATGAATATAATAATTATGCGTACGTAACTGTTTAGGTGTTGAATATCGTCTGTAGTTTACGCGAGTAGGACACATTTAAATAAAACACTTTGACGGTTTAAAACGCGATATTTATTAGTTAAACTCTTTTAACTACGGCCCGATGTTTCGGATGCTTTGCTTTCGCAGCAGCCGTGGTCTCCCCGTTTTCAAATAAGTTTAACTGATATATATCGCGTTTTAAACCGTTAAGGTGTTTTATTTAAATGTTTAGGTGTTGAAAAGTGAGAATATTTGACGCCGATAAAGGCAGCTTAGCCTTACTGTAATTTTCATGACTTGAGTTATTTATAGTTCCATAGTCTAAAAATGATAATCTATAAGAGCACCGTGATCAAAAATGTTTAACATAATTTTTCATAAATATTAGTAAAATTTATTTTCGCCTAAAGTTGATTGGGCATTTTTATTTTCTACTATTTTGAAAATCACGTTTTTTGTAATTAGGCCACTCTGCCTCTTACAGCCTCATTGTGAGCAAACAATGGGGCTTTGCAAACTACTGCACCCTCACAAACCGAACTTGTCTTGTGCCGAGATTCGAACCCAGAATATTTTGTGCTTAACAATACGTTTAATGATTGAGTCACGAAGGCTTGTTTTGTGTAGAAAAGTGTGTTGAAACACATTAGCATTAATATCTCATGAGACTCATAATATTATTAAGACTTGAGAATGCTACTTGTAAGCAAAAAAGAGTACTTACGTAGTGAGTTGTTTAATTTAATGCCAAAAACCGGTAACTTAAAAAGAGCAATAAAAAACTTACCCTATCCTCCGTCCATAAAGAACCAGACAAACATTTTCGTATGAATTACATAACATTCGCCGAATAAAGATCAAGGGTAACAGTATAGATAACATATATTTGCGAACCTACATAATTATATATACAGCGAACAAATTGCTTCGAGTGACATTGATACCATCATGTGGGTGGTAACAGGCGCACCACGTTTCTGCGACACACTTTAACCGAAAAAGTTTTCACGTTTTCCAAACGTTTTTCAAGCCACGCGACGAAGATTCAAAAATAGAATGTAAAATTACTTAACCTTTTGCGTGTTTATTAGCATACAAATAACAAAGTATAATTTCACATGTTATCAAACATACAGTAATGTAAAAAAGGTATAAATATATATAACCAATTATGATAACTAGTATAGCAATTGCCATTAAATTATAATCACTTTAAAATATGTCAAAATCGCAAAATAACTACATACTTTTGCCCCTCTTTATCAGTCTATGTTTGCATTTAGTTATTCTATCACACTTCCTGGAATGTTTCATTATTTCACTTGTAACAGCACGATGTTCGAGGAACACAATCTATGTTATGCAACGTTGCCCCTAAGTTCACAGCTATGATCTTTCCACTAAACAATATGTACACATGTTAACTCTTTACGCCGGTTTGTGTCACTAAACACGAAACGTTAAGACAACACAATAAGGTTATGGTCTCCTATAAACGCCGTAGGTCGCGTACAAGGCGATTTTTATTACTATAGTATAGAAAAGAGACAAATGTACTATTATTGTCTCTTATACACAACGAGATTGGCGCGTTGCGTCTCCAGGTGATATATTAACATCACCCATGTCTGTACAGTCCCTTGTGGGTGGGTCCTAGCTTTTTCTAGTTCTACACCTACGATTTTTAAATCATTAACAACTCTATCCCAGCGTAGCCTCGGTCTTACGGGCTTTCGTTTGCATCTTGGTTGAGAGTTTAACAAGGACCTTGGGGGCTCTTTTATTCGCCATTCTGCGACTGTTTTTTTTTTCGTAAACATCGTCTGAAAGCGGCCCATAGCGTTTATAGGAAACCGCAGGCTAAAACGCACACCAACGAATCGCGTTACACATTAAAACAAATGAATATGGGCATCGAATACGATAAAAAATTAACAAGGAAACTTTATAGAGCGCGTTTAGAAACGGTTGTTTGTCTATGATACCCGAGAACGACAATATCGTATTGTCTTACATTGATTTTCAGCAATTATTTTGCCTTACACAACATAATATAGACGTTAAGACATCCAGAAACGAGTGTTTCATAATAACATTATATACAAACTTATTACTTTGTAATAAGTTGAGATTCATAATTTAAACTGTTTAAGATAAATCTCTTAAACAATTTAAATTAATATTAGGGTAGTATAATAAAAAATAGTTTATTCTACAAACAGAACTATGGAATCGATAAGTTATAAATCAAGATTTACTCTTAATTATGTTAAAAAAGAACAGCGACATGCTTAATTGGAAAACGTCTTATAAAATTCTATGATTTATGGTTTAGTTGTATGGTCGTGGTTTTTTTTAACAGAGGACGATTATATTACACCTATTAATCTTTAAAAAGAAAGCAATAGAAAAATAATAACACAAAGTACATACTGTCTATAGTTTACGCGAGTAGTACACATTTAAATAAAACACTTTAACGGTATAAAACGCGATATATTAGCTAAACTTATTTTAAAATGATTTTTAACTTCGGCCCAACGTTTGGGATGCTTTGCAGCAGCCGTGGTCACGGGGAGACTTAAGAAGTTTAGCTAATATATCGCGTTTTAAACCGTTAAAGTGTTTTATTTTAACAAAGTACATATTTAGTTACGTCAATAAATTTAAAAAGCCATTAGCGAAACAGAAACAATAAGTTAAAACTTACAGAAAGATAACGAACTTTGAAAATAACATAATTGGCTTGAAATTTCTGGAAGTAGCATGGTGGGTCTAAAGACGCTCTGCCTAGTGCGATACAGCACATAAATTTTCTTAGTGTAAAGTTTACACTGTAAACATTTCAAAATTGTTTTGAAGGCGAATGATATTAAATAAACGAAACATCGAGGGCAAACAATGCTAATGCAAACGCTGATAGCCTGATTAGATGAAACTCCCGCTGTGGGTCATATAAAAGTGAAATTGCTGTTCTGTGTACTCAGTAGGACATCTACATTGGCGAATGGATTTGAACTTTAATGTTATTTTCTAGGTATTGGGTCAAATTTAAGCATTATTTGTGCTTGTATATTTTGCGGTACGTTTTAAAGAGACCGTACCTTTATGAAAGACTTTCTTATATTGTATCGATTTAATTATTTAAGTAAAAAAACACGTGTAACGGTTTAAAACGCGAAATATATTAAGTAGTTAACTTATTTCAATTCTGTGTAATCCTAGCAATGAATATTCATCAACGTCGTTTTGTATTTAAACATACGTTGTCTAATATTTCCCGTTTTAATCCGTTATAAAAGGTTTACTTAAATGTACTTTACGTAAACTACAGACTGTAATTAACTAATTAATAATGCATCATCTGGGAGCACATCTTTTTCAAAATAACTGTCTGTAAAGTACCTACTGTATTTATCATGATAACAAACTATCTGAAGAATTTTTTTATTATTGTAGCTATATTATTTATAAAAAAAACATAAAAAGGGGTAAAACTTACGTATCTTATCGCTAAGCAGCGATCTCTTCCAGGCAACCTGAAGAACTAACCTACATGAAGTGCAAATCACACTTCAAGTTTCAACTCACGATCGTTAAAGAAATATATTCGCAAGTTATTTAAGAGCTAACCAAAGAAGATCGATTATGCACAGACACGCCCATTTTCATTTAGTTTTATCTGCGAGGTATGCAGTAGAGGGTCTTATAGACCTTTCATTCATCTTTAGGATAAAAAAAGTTAAACCCAGTCGCTGGACTCAACCATGCTCTTACCGTCGTTACCTCTAGTACGAGGTTGATAGGTAAAAAAAATTGCTAGGTTTAGCAGTACTTACATTCATTTGGATAAAAATAACTTCCCATATACCATGTGCATAGTGCAGAGACGTATTTCTTCACAGTTGCGATTAGCGATACTTATAATAATAATAATAAAATGCCATCGTTGCCCAATATGTACTTCTCTCTCTTATCCATAACCCAACCAAAAATCGAACCAGTAGTTCTTGAGATTAGCGCATTTAAACAAAACTCATCGGCTTTATAACATTAGTAGAAATAAAATCTTTAGAAGATAATGCGATTTAATTTCGGTTAACTATTGAACTCGTGCTAGGGCTCGAACGGGTCGAGATCACAGGCGCCGAAGAACACGCCCTGTCACTCACACACTCATTGTTTCAAGCGAGATCTTTATGATTCATACCGCAATATTGCAAGTTTCAGATAAGAACGGCAATCGGGGCGTTCCAGGCCAACCGTCGTGCATGAAGATTTATGTCATTGACATGGTTCTACTCGGCACTACTCGGCTGATAAGCGTCGATAACTGCGCCACTGATAACGATTTGGTAGATTGGAAATTTAACTGAGGATTA